TATTTGTACTTTGTGTAACATTCATTCCTGAACTGGAACATTTCAGGGAAAATCAGAACATCTTATGTTTATTCTGGAATATGCTGATCTCATTATTCTGAAATTACTCTGGAAGATATTTAGAAGTTAAATTTCTAGAATAGGAGTGATTTGCAGTGTTCTGGATATGCTCGGTCCATGAAACAGGACATTTCAAAATGTTGCATGTAGAACACCACAATCTCCATCCTTATCTGGAAGAACTACTTCTGGAAAACACGTAACAATTCCTGGAATAGTTGGACCAATGATTTCTTTTTTTTTTTAAACAAATTTTATTAATTTTACAATTTAAAAAAAAACAAATCTACAACATATACACAAATAACAAAACCAGAAAAAAGCAAGAAAGAGAGAAAGAAAGAAATGTGAAAAGAAAGGAAAAAGAAAGAAAAAGAAAGAAGGGAGGGTGAACATTTAAAAACATTTTCCTTTTCGACAGTTTGTAAGATCTTTTCTTCTTAAATGATTTCTAAGGGAGAAGGAGGATATTGAACAATTTAGTGTTCTTAGAAAGTTCTGCTTTCAAAATGATGAGTTCTCTACATAGTTTGGGGTTGGATGGCCATATAAATTAAGAATCATTTTTTCAGCTCTTAATTTATTTAATGTGGCCTGCTATGTATATTTGCTAATGCAATATTACCATTCCTGTCAAAACAACTGAGAATTCATCTTAACTCTGACTGTTCGGAGTAGATTTAATTCTCATAAGAATAAGTGCTTTATTAACTCTTATGGACAATGACCCAAAGTGCTTTTAAGAATTGAGGAGGAATTCATCCGAATGCCACTGTCTCTATGTCAACTTCTTTCTTTCTCTGTGGCTTCCTAACTTTGTAGTGTTGTGTCTCAAGATAAGATGGATCTATGAACTTTCACAAAAGAGTTTCCAGGAAATCACAACTATTCCTGCAAGCAAAGAATGGATTTATACCAGAAAGGCCAAAACTTGCCAAATAGCTTTGCCTACCTTTTGTGAGCACTCAGAAAACATAAGTATACAGTGCAACAAAACTATATCAAAGACAAGACAGCTGCCACTTTTTAATGTTGTGCCAAGTGCAGCATGCTAGAAAAGAAAGTAAGAGGTGACGTAAGACTTTACTTATAATACATTTTCTAAAACTAGAAATAAAAACTTATCCACAGTAGTCCAGCACAATTTGCTAGGCTACTTGGATATTGCTTCACAGTCCTTTCTTCACCCCTGCTAGTTCAGCCTTAAATGAGATACAAGGGAAATGTAGAATTGAGTAGAGCAGAGCAGAGCAGAGCAGAGCAGAGCAGAACAGAACAGAACAGAACAGAACAGAACAGTATAGAATATTCTTTATTGGTCAAGTGTGATTGGACACACAAGAAATTTGTCTCTGGTGCATAAATTCTCAGTATACATACAAGCAACAAAGTGATAAATCATAAATCATAATTTATAATTATAAATCTATCTATCATCTATCTATCTATTTCTATCACCTATTACTTATCATCTATATCTATCACCTATCCCTATCACCTCTGTGCAAAGGTCTCAAAGACCGACCTCTGTCAACGCTGGTAAGCTGAGCTGCTTTTTAGCTCAGCTGAGGTGTGGCAATCCGCTCTGCTGCGCGAATCAGTTGAGCTAAAAAACAAGGGAATATAGGAGAGGTGAAGGCAGGGGTGAGGGGGGTCAACCAGAGGTAGTATTTGGTGGTTCTCCAAACTAGTCAAAATTTCTACTACCGGTATGCCAGAACCAGTCAGAATCGGCTGAATACCATCTCTGGAAATAGTCTAATATACTCTGATGCTTGGCAGGGTTACTGTTCTGTAAAGGGTGTACTTTCCTAGATATCTTCTTTAGTTTTTTTCTACCAAAAAACTAAAATGAAATATTTAAAAATAAAGTGGCTTCAAATGTTGTTATACTATAGCCTATGGCTGATTTCCTCCCTCCCCCTTAATTTAATTTCAAAGTGATTTCAGGACTGATAATCACAGTTAACCAGAATTAATGTGGAACAACATATTATGTTCTGAGAAAGTTCTGTGGTTTGCAACGATACAACCTTATTTGTTTTGAATTGTTAGGTAACAACTTACTTGGTTTCCAAACATTAGAGCCTGTTTGATCCAGTGGTTAAGACAGAACTGTGAGTTCTAGTTCTACCTTAGACATGAAAGTCAGATGGTGTGATGACCCAGGGCATGGCACAAAGACAACACAGTCAAATAAGCAAGAAGTGTCCCTTTAGTACCTCCAACTTTTCCTCCCAATGTCCAGGTTACCTTCATCTGGAGAAAAAACTCTCCCAAGAACATTCTTTAAGTGGAGGAAATTCAGTCTGAAAACAAAGTACATATAAACTGTAAATAAAAATCCACATAAACCATGCTGCAGTGATTAACTTGACAGGGCAGGAGAAGGAATTGCAGACTTAAAAGCCCAGCAAAACACACACAGTTGGGAAAGTGCCAGGAACCCAGATAAGTCTCAACGATACCAGATAATTCACGATTTGCTCCCAACAACTTGCTTCCCTTTTTAAACACTGTGTTCCCAGCTGCAGCTAAAGAAGGGAATCAGGGCCCTTTCCTCCCCCATAAGCCATGCAACTCATGTTGCTCCCTTCTCCATTACTCCTTGCGTGCCCTAGAATGAAGAGGGGGTGGGCCTGAGTCTTCCTCCAAATTCCCTCTCCCTTACTCTACCTCTCCCCTGCTCTGCCCAGCCAGCCTTTGCCTTCCTCAGTTTCTTCCACAGCCAACGGAGCCACACTCCCACTCCTTGTCAGCTGCTTGGCCTCTTCCTCCGAATCAGATTCTGACAGGGGCATGACAGATTTTGGTGATTTTGGGCCAATCAATTGTTCTCATCCCACAGGACTCTTGTGAGAAAAATAGGAGGGGGAAAGTATACTAGCTATGTTCATCATTTGAGTTTTTTATAAAATTTATAAATTTATTTTAAAAATGTATTGATAAAAGGAACAAAGACTGAAATAAATATTTGATTTATGTTATTGGTACTGATTACTAATTTTTCATAGTCTGCTCTCTTAGACAAGATCAAATATGGGGAAAGATCAAATGATACACTTTTAAAAAACAAGTAATAAAAGTTCCATCTATGGGATTGTATACATATCCTTGTCAGCCTGAATAGGATATTTAAAACTGGGCAACAGTCACCCAGCTTAGTATGGGTTCCACTCAATTCCATATTTGCTGTGGTGATTTCCCATCTCGGAGGCACTTAGAACTTCTGGTGACTCTCATAGATCCCCAGAAGAGTCTACATTGAAAGATGCCTGAAGTATCATGTATAAAGCCTGTTTTGGGAACTCTGCAAGTGAAGGTTCAGGGTTAGATTGCAATGAGGTACAAGGTCTCTGTGAAAAATTGTTAAACTCAGGCAGCATAGGCATTTGAGTGTTTAAACCAGAAACATAGTAATATAAGTATATGTTCATGAATAAACTTCCATATTTGTTGTCACTAGGGTTAGATCATATCCTAGGACCTCTGGTTTTATGAATGCTCAATTGCCAACAGCGAATGTTGGATCAGTCTATACAACAGTATTTGATCATGTTTGGTAAACTTTATTAGTTTACTGTATTTATTTATTCACTCACTTACTCACTTACTCACTCACTCACTGAAGCCTTGTCTCTAAACTCTCAGACTAACTGAATAAGAATACTTATAGCCAGGAAGGCACACACCCAAAAATCCCACTTAAACCCAAAGAAGAATTTGCTGTTTTTCACCATGCATTGCTTCTAGAACCACAGCAGAGCTACTTCCTTTGTGTTGGCAGCATTGAATGTCTCATCAAAGCTATGCCCAGTGAGACGCTGCTTTCATAATCAGATACTCTGTGGACTTTCTCAATACAATGTTTATGGGGTAGCAAATCTTGTTGCAGATACATTGAAAGAACAGTTTTAAGAAACTGATTGGGATGGTATTGGCTGATGGAGGGTCTTTCCTAGCTTGACATCTTTTTTGGTTTGTGACTCAGACTGACCACTTTATTTTGCTTAATAGCCAGGTGCTTTGATTCTCACAAAACATGTGTGCAAACTACCTTGGGTTCAATCTCTCTTCAAATTCCTGAGAGTGTTTAACTGGATTATAACCCTCATTTTGCTAGCAGCCAAAATACCTAATTTTATTGCTACTTCTGAGATAGGACAGGGATGGGGGCAGAATGTGCATTCCTCTGCCCCTTGGAGTGTATAATTCAATAAATCCTGTCAGGTTCTAATGCCTAAGCAGGGGTTACACGGAATGCAGCCTTGATGAGGTAAAAATGAAAATGATCTACTTAAGGTGAGTCTAGGAGAATCTTTGTAAATTCTCATGCATTTTCACAAAATAAATATGAAAGTCCTTAAAATATAAAAAAAATGGCTTGTAATACAGACTGGATTATTTTGGACTTTAAAGAGTGAAAACCATTTTCCCTGTTGAGTGCACTGAAGTAATGTCAGGAGTTTCTATTCTATGACGCAGCTGAAGGAAAAATGTCCTCTTAAGATGTGGTCACTTCCAAACATGCCACAATTTTATAATCCTCTTTGATATGGAGAATGTTCCCATCTATGCATAGTAGTTAGGAGGATTTATGGTGTACAGGTGCATTTCATTTGATACCACCTCAAATCCATAGATTTTTGCCTGCTTTCTTCCTGGAAAATATCTCTTACCAAAAAAAAAAGAGGAAATAGGATGACCAATCTGGGCTTCATTTTCAAGACTGTTTGCACAATAAACAGTATGGAGTATTAAGCAAGTATAGAAATTAATAGATAAGGAAAATGCCACTTGTATGCATCTATAATGTTGGCACAGTTTAACAAATATTGTTTGGCATCTTGAAGTATTTTCAAGATCACTTCCTTTTCATCTGAGCTGTTGAAAAAAAATGCAGATCAAGTTTCAGATTCTGCACTGTATATATTCACAGGTGATCCCTGCCACAGGATTACTGGCTTAAATTCTTCTGGAATCTTCCCACGAGATGGATCACACACTGATCTTTCTTTGGGTGCTGCTACTTCCAGCCACAGGTAATATGCTGGGTTTGATGTGGGCAAAGAGATACTTGGTACCAACAAAGGATAATATTTTTAGCTCAGGGTTGAAATGAAGGGTTGCTGGTGCTTACTGAGCTTGGTTGCTTTCTTGCAGATGCTTCATTACCCAAACCAGGCAACATCATCAGTGCTCAGAGAGTACCAAGCACCCCTGATTTTCTCCATATACAAGGCTGGAAATGAGCTAAATAATAATCAAGAACTGAAAAACAAACTATTTGAACTGCTCAATATTTTAATACAATGACTAGAATGTAGTTCTGCTGCAGTTTTCTTGGGAACATTGTGGGTATTTCCTTCAGAGATTTTTTTCCCCCTTCCTAATCTAGCTAAAAACCATAGGATTAACAGGTAATCCCTATATAAATTCTGGACTGGTTCTTATTAAGTAGTCTCCAAAATCAGCAAAGGTCTCCTAAGTGGTGCTACTTTCTGGGACAGTTATGATTTATTGAAATCTATTTCACCAGTCAGACTATAAAATTTGTCGACTACAGGTTATGGGTAGACTAGATATTTAGCTAAGGTTAGTAATAATTAAAGCAGAACTTTGCTTACTTAGAAGTAACTAGACAGCAGAAATTGAATCGAGACACTTGAATGGAATTAAGTTGTGAATTTCACTGAAAGCAGGACAAGACAGACCTGACTAACTTGTTTGTTTTGATTATTGTCTCAATTTTGTGATTCTATCAGCATGAGCCACAGACTGCTCAATCCATCATATTTTCCCTAAAAGAACATTTCTGTGCAATATATCTTCAGTATAAGATACAATCAGGGCAGCTTTTCCAGTTTTATGTAATGAAAAGGTCATTATAAGGCTAGGGGCTTTCCTAAGTTAGTAGCAGATTTAAGCACAGATTGTTGCAAGTATATTTATAGATTTCTGCACAGCTACATTCTGATTTCTTCTTACAACAGGTGATGGAATAAAAAATTTCTAACTAAAGATCAAGGAAACCAATGATTGATTCAGCCAATGTAGTACTAATTTCTCAGGCCAATGTTGATTAGACCTTCCTTCCTTCCTTCCTTCCTTCCTTCCTTCCTTCCTTCCTTCCT